ATGGGCACTTTCCTGTTAATGCAACAGCTATGATGAGTCATACCATCTCTGATCCTGGCAGTACTATGTATTGTGACTAGTAGCCATCAGTAGTCTTAGCTTCCACGAATTTGTCACCATGGGCATATTGATTCCTGCAGCATCTGACCACAGCACGCAGCTGTACAATGATGTGTGCTTTACTCATCATTTCCACTCAGTTGTGTGTGTAATAACACTTGCTTCACCACAGGGTTGGATGCTACAGACAGGTGCCATTGGGGGCACGCACACACACAAAGCAGGAAATTGATTCAAAATGGTTCTAAAGTCTGGTACTCTTCAGCTATCGGCTGTTTCCAGGTGCTTCACGAGTATTCAGTAATGTTTGCCAACACTCCTAAATATAAAAGAGGAAGATCTAGGCTGAAGCCTTGACAACCCTCGGTCACGCATCAGCTCAGTTCAGGCATTGCATCCAGCCATGGCTGAGGAGGTTGAGCTATACTCTAGTAGCGTTTTGTTTGAATTGATAAAACCACAGTGTGAGCTCAGCCAGCAAATCCGAATTGGAAACTATTATTTGTTCTGCCTGTGGCTTGGCATAATGTTTGAACTGATGAACTACAGCGATCATTCTTTCTCTGGAGGCTGCAGCCTCATGGATATAGGAGCGGGTTTTTTGGGACTTATGAAACAGAGTGCTGAGAGGAGGGGAAACTAAACCAGATAAGCAGTGCTAACCCATGATTTCCGTCTTGTATTCTTGGAAACTGGGACTGTCGTTTGCATCCTGAACAATGGCTAGTGCAATCTCAGGTTTGGTATGAGGTCTGAATTGAGTAGCCAGACACCTACACATCACTAGAGCATGTTAAAAAAAGTAAAACTAATAAAGTTAAGGTATGTTAATATCCAGATTTTCCCTGATCTGTTCTTAAATTATGTCAGAAATAAAAAGATGTGGACTTTACTATACAAGGTTAAACACTCTGTTAGAGATAGATAGATCATTTATATCCCACTCTTCCTCCCAAAGGAATCCAGTCAATACATCTTAGCCTAACTCACATCACTGGCTTGTTGTGAAGATGAATTGGGAGGGGAAGAACCACATAAATTAGTCTGAGCAACTTGAGGATGGGATATATAAATGTAATAAATCAATAGAAAAAAGGAACAATGATTTGTTGTTAAGTTGCAATTTCATAATAATAAAGCAACACACCAGTAACACACCAGTACCAAAGTAGCTTCGGGTCATGCACAAGTATGCCGTTAACTCTTCTTCTCATTGATTAAAGTTTGCCATCACCCAAAGATCAGCCAAAGCTTGAGATAAATACATCTACTCGTTTAGCTTGCAGACATACTTTTGGGACACAATGACTGTGCCTCCATTTGCTTTTTGTCCTGATCAGTTTACTCTATAGAGTGACATTAAATGCTTAATTTCCATCCTGGGAAGTATCCTAAGCAGTTCAATTGATGTTCTTTGTGAGAGCCTGTTTGCTGTGTTACGGCTTGTATTATCTCCAGAGCCACCCCTATTGATATCTTGGTAATTTATATGTAATCAGTTTAATTATCAGAACCATTCAATATGCCTAAATAAGAAGGCAGTGTGGGATGGAGGAAATCAGTCTTAATATTGAGGATCATTCCCGCCCCCCCAATAGCAGCTGGCTGGTCTGAACCTGTTGATGTCTCTTGTAATGCTGAACCCATTGTTATGGCAAAGAAGTATGCCATTTGGAGCAAATCCCCATAAAAATGGATTTATCTAGCGATTGGTTTGAACCATGTAACAATTACCACATGAAGCCTCCCTGTGCCTGTGATTACAACAATTGCTAAAAGCAGTTATGAGGAGCCTGCGGCCCTACCACCCCTGTCACCCCTGAATGTTGGCTGTCTGTTCTTGATGGATGTTGGAATCGAATAATGTCTGAAGGGACACAGATTCCCCAGTGACTGTAATTCTGCATCCAAGGGCTTTTAGCACACAGCCACGAGTTGATAGTTCTGACAGTGCGTCTTGTAATTGGGCCATGTAGCTTGAATGCAGTGTTGCTGGGCAAAGAAATATAGCGGCATGAGCCTTCCCCTTTAGCGGGAGCTGATTTGGATTTGACAGAAGCAGTGGTGTGAGTCGGCCCGCACAAGATGGGTGAGAAAGTAAGCTATCGTGCCTCATCTTTTGTGAATCTGAACACGGCTGCCGAGTCTTAACTATAGGCCAAGCAGTTTCTTTCAGTTTTCTATTACGGCAAAGCTGCTTGTATAATATTGCTAGAGTTAGCACAGTGGGGTGTCTGCCATCTGCTCTTTATAGCCTCTCATGCTTGTTCTCCCCCAGCCAGCCTCACCCACATGAGGGTTCCTCTCCCCCCAAACCTTAAACAAAACTGCAAGGGAAGAATATTGCATGCACAGAGAGGCACCGGGATTTGCCTCTTGGACAGCTGCTCCGGACAACTGAAAACTGGCAGTCTTCTCTGGTTTGATCCGTATTCGTGCCAAAGCGTAAAGAAAAGTGACAACACTGATACTGTACAGAGGCCTGCCATTTGCTGATATTCCCAGTCAAAACCTCTCAGATGGAAGCTGTCTGAAGCCTTTGCAGAGTTATAGGTTGTGCGAGAGACGAAACGAGGGTTCTGTGTGCTGCTCTTGAGAAGGAAACTCAACCTAAACAGCTCCATGACTTGGCTTTGCCAAGTGGCTCAGGAGGAGGAGGAGGAGGAGAAGAAGAAGAAGAAGAGTTTGGATTTGATATCCCGCTTTATCACTACCCGAAGGAGTCTCAAAGCGGCGAACATTCTCCTTTCCCTTCCTCCCCCACAACAAACACTCTGTGAGGTGAGTGGGGCTGAGAGACTTCAGAGAAGTGTGACTAGCCCAAGGTCACCCAGCAGCTGCATGTGGAGGAGCGGAGACACGAACCTGGTTTCCCAGATTACAAGTCTATCGCTCTTAACCACTACACCACACTGGCTCTCCAAGGAGAGTTGCCCCTTGGCTGGGGTGAAACTGTCTGGATAGGTTTAAGTTGGGGGTTTTCTGCCTCCTGTTTTCTCACTCAGCCTGTTAGTCTCTGTGCCAGTTAAAGGGCAACTTGTACATGTGCATATGTTTAAATTAGTTAAACAGTGTGATCCTATCCTTACCTATTCAAAAGTAAGATACATTCACTTTGCATGGTTTTTATGCCCAGCTATGCCTTTCGACAAGGGGCGCGGGTGGTGCTGTGGGTTAAACCACAGAGCCCAGGACTTGCCGATCAGAAGGTCGGCGGTTTGAATCCTCGCGACGGGGTGAGCTCCCGTCCCAGCTCCTGCCAACCTAGCAGTTCGAAAGCACGTCAAAGTGCAAGTAGATAAATAGGTACCTCTCCAGCGGGAAGGCAAACTGCGTTTCCGTGCGCTGCTCTGGTTCGCCAGAAGCGGCTTTGTAATGCTGGCCACATGATCCGGAAGCTGTACACTGGCTCCCTCGGCCAATAAAGCGAGATGAGCGCCGCAACCCCAGAGTCGGTCACGACTGGACCTAATGGTCAAGGGTCCCTTTACCTTTACTATGCCTTTCGACAGGATTGCAGCCAAATATGGACAAATGGGCTGCTTTATTTTTTTGCATTTTACACCCCACCTTTTTCTCCAAAGAGCTGAAGGTGGTGAACATGGTTCTCTCCCTCCTCGTTTAATCCCCACAACAACCCTGTAAAGTACCCGTATTTTTCGCTCTATAACACGCACCCGACCATAACACGCACGTAGTTTTTAGAGGAGGAAAACAAGAAAAAAAATATTCTAAACGAAACAGTAGATGTATGAGTTTTGTGGTTCATGCTGTGGCCACAGACATGTGATCTGACAGTGAGTTTGGAGTAGCCCAATGCAAAAATCCTGAGGATCCATGTGGATCCATGCTTTGTAACCACGTTTTTGCACCACTGCGGCCCCAGGCAACAGTGGGTGCGTGATTTTTTTGGTGCAAGATGTAGCCATGGACATGCTATGTGATCTGATGGTGAATTTGGGGTGACCCAGTGCAAAATTCCTGAGGATCCATGTGGATCCATGCTTTGTAACCACGTTTTAAGTGGGGAGGGAAGGAAAAGCACTCAAGGGACAAGGAGACGTGTGGGGTTGTGGAGAAGGATGCTGCTAATAATGCAGAAGAGGGGTTTAAGGGAAGAAGAAGCATGCGTGGGGTGGGTGGAGAAGGATGCTGCTAATAATGCAGGAGAGGGGTATAAGAGGAGAAGGCTCCTCTCCTCTCCCACTTTGCTCCTTTAAAGCAAGCAGGCTCTGCTTTTCTCCCTCCTCCCCGCTCATCCCCGGCTTAGCAAGCTGAAAAACTTTGCTGCTATGTAGCGAGCTGAGTGAGGAGGAGAGAGGAACAGAGAGCCTGCTTGCTTTAAAGGAACCAACTGGACAGGAGCCGCTTACACTCGTGTAAGTGGCTCCTCTCCTCTCCCGCTTTGCTCCTTTAAAGAAGCAGGCTCTCTGTCCCTCTCTCCTCCCCACTCAGCGGCTCTTCTCCTGCTTTGCTGTTTCAAAGCGAGCCACGGAGGAGGGAAGGAAGGGGAACCATGGATCCTCTGCTCACGACTGCAGCAGATCCCCCCCGCCACCCATAGGCATTCCCTCTATAACACGCACAGACATTTCCCCTTACTTTCTAGGAGGAAAAAAGTGAGTGTTATGGTGCAAAAAATACAGTATGTTAGGCTGAGAAGCAGTGGTTGGCCCAAAGTCACCCAGTGAGCATCATAGCCGAGTGGGAATTGGAACCCTAGTCCTAGTCTGACATTCTAACCATGGATGGCTGCCTGGACAAGGAGTGCCATTCATAGCCTTGAGTCATAAGTATTGAAGAAGCTGGACTGTGTGCACAGTCAGATGAGCTGGCTGGAAGGGAGAATCCCAATCTCTAGTGTATAGAATCATTGAATTGTGGACTTGGAAGGGACAACGAAGGACATCTCGTCCAATGCCCTGCAATGCAGAAATCCTTTGCCCAACATGGGGCTTGAACCCACAACCCTGAGATGGAGAGTCTCATGCTCTACCAACTGAGCTATAGAGTATAAAAGCCAAAGTAATAAAAAAAAGCCATTAACTAGTATGCTTTGGAGTAAATTGCCTGCTGCTCTTGCTGCAGAATGTCCTGAGGTCTTTTGAGAAATTCACGTTGTAGTTTTTTTGTGTTTTTTAAAGCCTTTTGAAGCATAACTGTGGAATGGCCAAGGGAAAAAAGCCTCTTTTGTTCAGAGGCTGTGTTACAAAGGACGCTGTCTTATATGAGTCCTACCATTGGCCCGTATAGCTTGGTGTTGCCCACACTGACTTGCAGCAGCTGTTCCAGGGTTTCATGCCAGAGTCCCTCCCAGTCCTGCTTGGAGATGCTGGGGATTGAGAGGGCCTTCTGCATGCCAAGCAGGTGCTCTACTCCTGAGCTACTGTCCTTCCTCTTTAGTTTGCCCAAGAAGATTGTGCCTTTTTTTGCACCACATTTATCTATGAATCCTGGGTGGAACATTGGCCAGATGGTATTTGGTCATGGACATATATAGATTAATAGGGATATTTATGGTGCTCTTCCACCCATTTCCTGCACAGCCATAATTTGCATAATTCTCTGTACAGGTACTGTGTGTACAGCACAAAATCAGCATTAAGCTTAAGAAAAGCAAACGCCCCCTTCAGGTGTGCAGATTAACTTCAGGTGTGGGCGGATGGTGATGGTGGGGTTTGGGGATGAGTGTGCCAGCTCTGCTTCTCCATGTCTTTGTCCCCATTGCCCTTCATGAGTTGGACAGTGACTGTGTGAACGGTGGAGCCTCTTGTGCTCTTGAAGGCTTCCCATGCATATTAGAGTCCTGGAAAATCAGGGTTCTAAAATGCACTGGAAGCCTAAATGAGTAGAAATGGTTCTTTGCTTCACACAAGCTGGCTTCCAACTCCAGGAAGGAGGTGAGAACCACAGCTGGAAGCAGAGCTTGTCGCCTCCTGTCTGCCCCCACAACTTGCATGCTAAGTTAACCCAAAATCCTTTGTCTCGCTGTTTCCTCTAGTCTGGAGGGGCTTGTGATTTTAATTTTAATTTTTTTATAATACAGAGACTGTTTACCAACGACAAACGCATGCGCACCAGAAGTAGCAACCACTTTTCCAAAATTCCTTGCAATGCTCTCTCAAAAAACTATTATCATTCTCCAGCCTGAAGCTCCATCGGGTTCTAGTTATTATACCAGCCTTCCTTAAGCAGGTTCTCTCCAGATGTTTTTGGACTGCAACCCCCATCAGATGGGAGTTGTAGTCCAAAACATCTGGAAGGCACTTGCTGGAGGAAAGCTGAATTAGACCATGTGAGTTTACTCAAGCATTATTTTAAAAACTGGCCTCTTAATCATATAATACCCCCCTTTCCCCCCTTTCTTTCCATTTCCATACTGCTTGGGAGGAGAGAGATTCTTTCAGCAATCCCAAGCATGCTTTGCCGGTTCCTTGTGACCACTGCATGTTTTTTCAATTAGCTCAAAAGTTTTCCAGATGCAGCTGAGACCTCGGTGTATCCAAAATGCAATGCACTAAGCTGAAAAATAAGGCTGAGTCAGCTCTTTCTTTCTCTGCAATGTTAATTATGTCAGCCCACACACCACGGAGCCTGACCTCTAACTAAGAGCGACCTCCTTGCCTGTCACGAACCTTATCCACTATTATCAAAACAACTCCTAATGTGCGCTCCTAAAATATCCATGTACATGGTTTGATCCTATCCATTTGCTAATTCTTTCAATAATGTGCTGTGGCACATGATCTTATTATCGCCAGCTTAGGAACAAGGGTATGCCTTTCCTGAGCTGCTCAGGTGGAAAGCCATTGATTCACATGAGTCTTGCAAAAATGTTTTCTAGAGTGTTCTGGCTGTGGTGTGTGTTCTGTTGTAGTGAAATCATATTATCTGTCCTGCAGCCGTGTTTGAAATGAGCAGACCAGGCTTCTGGAATCAAGCAGCTTCAGTTCATAGTCCCAGTCATCTATTTTGCTTACTTTCCTTTTAAAAAAAATATTTCCCTTCTTCACCTGTCCAGTGATGGAAATTTTTACTTCCTCCTCCATAAGCTCTTGCCTCCTTCACTTGTTTTTGATTTTTTTAAAAAAACCAGACTTTGAGTCAAAGATTTCATGGTTAACCAGGTTGTGTTTGGGACCTGGACATCTGAATAATTGCCTCCTTTTCCTGAAAACATGCTTGCACACTCAGATTTTCCCCAGAGACCCCACATCATATTCCACCGCCAGTTAAGCTGCGGTGGGTGAACATGAGAGACAAGGAACCTTGGTGCTGGTGCTGTGTTTTAGATGCTTTACTATGGAATAGTTTGTCACTCTCCTCCCCCACTTGTCTTCCTAGGCAGGGTGTAGACCAGCCTTTGCCAGCTGCACATGCTGAGGCTGATGGGAAGTGTAGTCCAAAACATCTGGAGGGCACCTGATTGGCAAAGGCAGATTGAGATGCAGTTGCTTCAGTGTGCATTAGGTCTGGGCATTAACTTTCCCCTTCATTGGATTCTGTTTCTGGTTTTGCTGCTTCCGTCTGTTGAGTTTTGCTGATCTGATGTTTTGCTTTCTTTTTAACTGATGATGTATATTTTTATGATTAATTGCTACCCGCAATGGATGGAAAGGCACAGTGAAAAACGTTTTAGCAACATAAAATAAAATGAATGCCTCGCAGGGGTCATATTGCAACACTGGAGAAAGCCCTTTTTCTGTAAAAGAGCATATTTCAGCTACTTTTCCTCCTCGGTTTTGAACAACTGATGAACCAGCTAACAACGGCTGTGTTTATAACTGTATGTCTGCAACAGAGAAGAACTTTGCCAAGCTTCTGAATGTTAGTCGCTTCCTAATATTCTGTTCTAATTGTGCAGTTTCCATCTCTTAAAGGTAGGTCAGTGTGGGGTGGGATGCAGTTTCACGTTCCCTATATGTCTGAATTTGCATTCTTTGAATAAACTCTATATATAGATATATTCATAAAGAACATTTCTGAATTTTGCCAAGGGTATTCAGAAGTGCTTGACCTAAGCTCGCAGGAGCCTTGGTCTCAGTGAGCCCATGTTATTCGAGGTATATTGTCAAACGAGGTTGAGACTTCCTTCAATAAAGATGGGAAACAAAAAGCTTAGAGTTGTAGCCCTTCTAGTGTCAACCGCTTACATTTACTTGGGTGTAGAGTTGTGTATTGGAGTGGTAGTTGCTACTCTGGTTCAAACCACAGATTAGACTTAGGGTCAAGCTACACATTGCACCTGTGCAGTTAGCTAGGAATTACAGCCAGCCAGGAATTGTTTTTCGGTATCCAGCATGTAGGGAAGAAAGGTTTATCCCTATCCTCCTTAGCTACACCCCCAATTAGTTAGGAGGCTTAGAGTTGTATCCAATGCTAGTCCTACACAGAGTAGACCCACTGATGCCCATTAACGTCAGTGGACCTGCTGTGTGTAGAAGGAGCATTGATTACAGCCCAGAGGAAAGAAAGAAATTTTAATTGGTTTTGCAGCCATGGGGAAAAGAGATTTTTGTCTAAATCGTAGCTGGGGAGGGAAGGGAATAAACCTCCTCCCTGCATGCTGTGATCCTGATAACTATTTGTTATCTCTAATTAATTAAAGAAAAATAAGATGCATAGTTCGCTGCTATGCATTAAATGTAGTGTATAGTTTCACCCTCGGTTTGTCATTCTAAAATGTTTAGTCCCTCTGGGGCTGAGCCTGAAATGTGTGTTGGCTCAACCTCCTTCCTGTCCAAAAGTGCTTTTTCCACTTTCAAGAGGACAGATCAGTTGATCTTGCTTGAAGAAGGGAGCGGGGGGAAAGGAACACCAACCCTTCTGCTTGCTGATGACTTTTCTGGCTAGGATTGTTGAAAAGAATTGTGGCATTTGTCCTGGGATTTATTTCGCTTTAATATTTTTGGTTCCTTTGAAATTAATCCATGCCTGCTGGCAAAACTAACAGTCTCTCGGTGCTCTAAAAACTTAAAAGACTTACAAAAAAAGCCCACGAAGTTGGAGCACTTTTAATGCCCACATTGCAGTGGGATTGCTACAAATGCATTAAATCTCATCCACTGAAATCAATGGGACTTAACAGTGGCTTGCACCGCTGTACTTTATATATTTTATATATAAAGAATGCATCTATTCATTGTAAATGCTTCCACTTCTACTTGATGGGTATTTAGATACCATTTGCTGCTACAAAATATATTCTGTCTCTGAATAGTGTCTCATTTGATGCTTTTGAACTTCTTTGTTGCTGGCTTTAGTGCCCCCTTCAATTGCCCTTTATTGTGGAACTGAGTCAGTTTAGGATGCTCAGAGACCCAGCTTTGTTGCTGGGGTGGTTTCCATATCACAGAGCACCTTTCAGCAACTGGGTTTGTGTGCCAGCTGCATCCCCTGCTGTACAGAGAGAGAGCCTGACCCTGGTTATCTCCAGATTTGACTCCTGCAGTTCATGATACAAGGGGGCTGTCCTTGAAGACAGTTCAGAAACTCCTGTTGGTTCAAAATACAACCACTAGGCTGCTAACAGGGCCAAGTGCATATCTCACTGGTTGAATAAACAGGTTTGGTGCCTGCCAGTTAATTTGCAAGTGCAATTCAAAGTATTGGTGTTTGCTCTTTTTTAAAGCCTTACGTTACTTGGGAGCTGGGTACCTGAAGGATTAACTGTAACCAAGGCAAAACATGAGCCCTGGCTTCTGAATATGTGTAGGTATGGAATGGGGCGATGGGTGATCAGTCAAAGAGCTTAGTCAAGTCTTCGCCAACCTGATGCCATCCAGTTGTTTTGAACCACAGCCCTCATTTGCCCCAGTCAGCATGGCCAATGGTCAGGGATGATGGGAGTTGTAGTCTAACCTGGTGCTCTTCAGGACCACACAGAGCTTTCTTTCTTTCTTTCTTTCTTTCTTTCTTTCTGGAAACATCCTCTTGATTATTCCATGTGGAGGAAGATTTTTGTTCAATACCACTGGCATGGATAAGGCTGCCAAGAAATAAGGAAATTGTAGA